CGTACGATACTCGCGGGAAGAGTAGGGTAGTATTTCTATTTCTATAGAAGCCAAGTCCATCAAAAGACATATTATTGAGGCGGGCTGGTTATTCCTCTCATACTTATTAGGTAGTAGGTAGGTACCGTACCAAAGCTCATGTGAATATCTGAACATCATTCAAAGGTCCTTTACATCGATAGTATTTAGCTTCAATGTATTGTCATCTTCTTGGAACATACAAGGATATGCTACGGTACGCACCACGGCACCGTACAGTACATATTCCTTTACAAATCAGCGTTAGCACAACATGTTAAGCCACCGACCGGTTTCCTAGAATGTACCTCTTACTTATGACGTTCACAAAGTGCCATTAATTCAAAGACGTGGACATGACATGACGTCACGTCTATTCATACCCGAAGATGAAGGAAGGGTACAGTCAACCAAGTAGTTTACTATGCAGGCGAGAAAATTATTAAGTACCTATTAACTATTCTAAATTCTATACTGTCTTGTTGAAGAAGTCAAATCTGTTGTAACCATTGGTCAGAGGCGTAGTGTGCCTTGGCGGGGCCCCGTATAAAAATTAGTTTTAGGGCCCTTATGAAGCGTAAAGATTACCACAAGAGAAAAAGTTTTTGCATAAAATACTAATAATGTACATACATGAAACTCGAAGAACTTTCCAGGCAACTCCTCCTGCCCAAATTATTGGACCAGAATTACCCACTTTAGTTTTCCTAAGTTTTTACCAATCTTTGAACAGATACTTTACGCGAGTAAAAATCGTTGATTATGACTTTTGTGATTACCTACTGAAATAAAATAGAAATTGGGATGTTTTCAGTAAATTTTTCTTATCCATGTTGCGAGCCCCCGGACTGCTGGGGGTATAATGGGGGACCGTATAATTAATACAGATATGGAGTTAGCTACGCCCCAGCCAATGGTGGACTTAGTTTCCAACCAATGGTTATTGTGTCTGCACTGAACCAAACTTTATTTCCATACCTGTATACCAAATACCTCTGCTGACTGTACGTACAATGTAACACCGACTTCCGAGTAAATTGAATCTCGATTTACAGGTGATCCTATTACCAAATACCTATAGATCCACAAATTGTTGTTCCGGGTGTATATTGTGTATGTGAATTGTTAATTTGAAAATCAACGACGCAGGACAAATCCCAAGTGCAGGGCAACATTATATACTTTCAAAAATCATCAAAAAATCAAATCGTTACTCAGCAGTCGGTTTAATAAACTACTCAACCATCGACGTTGTTTACTCAAGTAACTCCATGAAAAACCTTTGATACAGGAGCAAGGCTTACAAAGCCAATTGCTCTTAGTGTATCGGGAACTACGGAGAAAATGTATTTTCTAGTTTTATTAAAGACAGGCTTAAAATGTACTCTGCACTAGAGCCACTAAAGCCACTTAATAAAGCAGACTATTTACAATATTCACACAGGATCTAAGTTGTAAAAGTAGTCACTTAGGTACTTTCTGAATAAATAATTACGTACTATTAAGGACCAAAGCCTGAAACTGTGTCAGTATTAATTAATAAGTCTTTAAAACTTTGTATACCTGATACAGGTACTCAAGATTGTCCAACAAAGAAAGCACGAGTACTACAAGTAATACTTTGAGGTCAAATATTGGACAGAGTATGTACTAGTGCTCTCTATATGCTATCCGAGAGCTTGTTGCTCCCGTCACGTAGGCACCTTGATGTAACTCGACTTTTGAAGCTGTGGAGTGTCATTTTAGGCGAACATTACCTTACCTCCCATTCATTCAAATATAACAAGACACTCAAACAACCACTTACTTCTTCTCTCTTCTCTGTCGTTTCACTCTTGGTAGAGCGATCGTGGTCACGTTGAGGCGGTCGTATTTGTGCTGGAGGCCGATACTGCTTTCCTTACGATCTCCCGGTTTGTGGATTGTCTGGCGGAGTTCAATCACTTACATTTCACCACAAAGGAACATTTCTCGTTAAAAATCCTTTTTCAATCTCTTCCTTAGCCAGAACTCTCAACTGCTACAACTCTTCCAAATTATAATTGCACGTATGCACATTTAATCAAAACGGATTTAATGAACTTGCGATATGGTGAGGGGAACCTACACACTCACTGCTTTTTCCTGATCCCCGAACGCGGTGGAATTACACGTGCTGAAAGACCTTCCAATGTTGGTGGCTCATAACACTGCCGAAAACGATGCACAACCCCAAACAATTTAATCAAAATGTTGTCTTGTTGCCCTTGTAATAAGTTTGACAATCGTGTAGCTGCCAGGATAAGATAACTTTCAGTGTTTCAATAAATATACCTTTATATACTGTCTACGAGGTGGCTTAGCGTGGATAAGTTGTTTCAGTTCAACAAAACTGAGTATTTTAAATCCAGTGCAGTCAAAGGTGATCTCAATGGAAGAGATATGAAACATTTCTATTTCTCTTCAAACCTTAGCGGTAAATAACGAAGGAAGATTTTTCGTATCTTTACGAAAGATTTACTGAGTAAAACATCCGTTTTACTCAGTAAAAGTGTTTATACAGATAAAGTTATATTTTCACATTTCTTCGGATCTATGCTTTGATGTACATAGGTATGTCCGTAGGTAGGATTAAAAATTATTTGATATTCTAAAAATAATTCATAAAAAGTCTTAGTGATAGGAAACATTCTCGTGTTATCATTATCTTTTCGGCTTGCTCACGCAACGGATTGACGAGGAACTCGAGTAATTTCAAGCCATGCTAGAGGCTCATGTTCATGAGCAGCATTTCGCGACCCGCGACTTCGCGATGACTGTCGCGCTGCTACTCTCAGTCACGTGAGTAAGCCGAAAGCATTTAATTTAGTGTGTCTCACAAAAGTTTTAATATACTTTTTTTTCTTTTTAAAAAATATAAACATTCTAGTGTAACCAATATGATGTATGTTTATCAAAGGCGCATTGTTGCAGTAGAGATCAGCGAGCATGTGGACTGAGATTATATTATTGCTAGTTATTGCATCGGTATTGTTGCCCCTCGCGCGTAATCCCTGCATAACATAAATATTACCTGTTGATAGTACCTACAAAGAGGTTTACGTTCAGCTATTCATATCGACGTTAGATTACTTCTGAAACCCCTACTTAGAAAGAAGACTTAGTAAACAGGAGAAGCTTTTACCTGTAGCTTACTTTGAGGTACTTACACATTTCTAATCTTTCCACGAAGACGTATAATTTTTGAGTTCATATTAATTATTATTTTTGTCTATTATAATGGCATCATGCATACAAAATAAACTTAATCTTGGCATTTACAAATTAGTCATGGGAGGCAAACGAAACAGACTTTTCACTTGTTGAGAGGGAGCATAAGTGCGTTGCCGGCTACCGGCCATATAGGATGCAATGAAACCCCGCGAGAATCGTTCAGTTCCTTCGTAAGATCACAGAACAATTTATAAAGTTATTGAATCGGTTGCAATAAGCTGGATACTGATATTACTTCTAAGTTACCTATAATACTTTATTCTTTGTTGTTATATAAATAAATACGATAGAACTGACATATCTACACTAATATTACAAATATGAAAAAGTTGCATTGAAAAGCTGTCATGTGGCCAAACTAATACCGAAACCAATTACAAATTTTGTTCACCATTGCAAAGTCACGGGTGTAGTGTAACGCTACTTTTCATCGCGAGAGAAAAATCTAAATTGTAGATACGCGGGCGAAGCAATTATAAACTTCGCATCGTTCATATGACTGTGTAGCAATGTTTGTTTATCCAGATTAATTGAGAGCACTCGTTTATTAGTTGAGTGCTAGCCTCAAAGGGGCTTCGTCTAAATTCTTTTCTTGGGTTCAGTGAAGCTTTCCAAATGTCACGATTGGTCCATGTATTTAAGTAAGAACTTTTGACGGCACGGTTGACGCGGTGGCTGGGCAACCGGCTACCTCGCGACGCGTAGCGGGTTCAAAACCCACACGGAGCAACACTTTGTGTGATCCACAAATTTTTGTTTCAGGTCTGGGTGTCATGTGTATGTGAACTTGTATGTTTGTAAACGCACCCACGATACAGGAGGAAATCCTAGGGTGGGGCAACGTTTGATAAAAATAATCAAAAAAATCTAAGCAATATTTAACATTTAACTGAAAAACATTTCGGTCGTTAAAATAAGTTTTAAATGAATATTTCCGTAGTGTGACTGTGTCATAAATATGCAAGTAAATCCTCGACTTGCATCGTGGATCATCGATCCATCCATCTATTTCATATTATATTTTCGTTCATAATACTGTTCAGCTTGTTAAAAGAATAGCAATATCATAATATGGAACATTATAAATCCGATAGGTAATTTTAGAGATGCGTAAGGACGAGTGCAAATCCCACGGCTCACTAGGGTCATAATAATTATTCTCTTTCTTTCTAAAAATATCGTCTATTCATAATTCATATAATGTACAAATAAGTTTAAAACGACACTAGCGCCACAGTCATAGATTTATTCATTGCTTTGTTGCTTAAAGAAGATCCATTTAGAAGTTTCCGTGTAAAAGTTAGGAAATATTCATACATTGATTCATACATGAATATTACATATTTGCAAACGCAACAGTACATGTGTGTGAAAACTACAATATTTGTATGATTCAGAAAAATAAAATATTCGTAAAAATGGCACCTGGTCGAGCGAAAATCAAACATGATGTTAAAAAAAAGAAATACATATTACATAGGTACACCTGAAACTAAAAAATGCAGCAACAAACATGTTTGTAGCTTTAAATAAATGTAATAAAAAATTGTATTTTCAAAAACAAAATCTTTCGTGCCGAACCATCAGAGTTACTGTAAATGTTACAGGGTGCAATGGGGGGTGCGGTGGGGGTGGCCCACCCCGATCTTGCAACCCTCCCTCTCCCACGCCTGCACCTACCTGACCAACCGGGGGAGGTGCAAACTTTAGTCCGCGGAAACTTTTCGTTGAGACCGGACGCGTGCACTATGTTGCAATATATCTAATACGCGAATCGAAACAATTCTAAGTGTAAAAAATGAGATCCGCAGTAAGTAATTTTATTTATTATTTATTTCATTTTTTTTATTTTTTTATTTTTTTTTATATTATTTTATTTTTTCACCGCGTAAAATTGTAAAATTTCTGAGTTACATTTTTCTGGGTGATTGTAAAATTAATAATAATGTTTTAGCTTTACGTATTTTTTTTTTGTATATTTTCAAGGGAATTAGTTAATTTAAAATTTATTAATGTGTGATTTGATAAAATAATTTATCTTTGGGACAGGGAAAATATAAAGAAATTCCACTATTTCTGAAAAAAAAAACAAATTTAAAAAAGCAGTTTAATAAAAATGATATAATAGAATATTGTATTTTTATATTTTGTTAATTACATTTTATTTCCTCTTTATTTTCCTTTTCTAATAATCATACCAATTTTTTCCTACAGGCGCTCCTCTCGGCGAAAGTTTCAAAGCGTTCCTTTGCCTTGTAATAAATTAAAAAAAATGCGTTGCGTTTGCGAAGGGTATAATTAAAAAAATTAATAAAATATTTTATACTTCACTGTGCACTTTTTCGTCAATTAACCAATGTTCTTGTCGAACTATTTAATTGTTTACTGGGGTTGAATTACTTGGCTATTTTTAGAGCACTCTAGAATTTAGGACTCCCTGCGTTTAGTTAGTATTTAAAAAAAGTGAAGTGAATTATGATGGTAAGAAAAGCTGTGGCGGACTAAATGTGTTCGTAGTTTATATTTATAATTAGAAATGGAATCTTATACCTAACTTAAATTACCGTTAAGGTTGAATTTTGCTAATGTAGTCTAGTAGTAGTTCATAGATTACCTGTATTTCTAGTTAGGATTCTGATTTGATTGACGGTTCAATTTAGGGTTTGGACATGAGTTGTTCATGTTTCATTGTTTGCTTGTCAGTTCACATCACGCTGAATTTTATCTCAAGTTGCAGGCAGGAATATATGATATGTTTTCAGCAATTAAGATTAAAAAAAGAAAAGTTTTAAGTAGAAGAGGGCTATTTTCTAAGACACTGAAAAGAAGATTTTTTAGAAACTGGAAAATAATTTCGGTTTTTTTCCGACCCAGGATCGGACTGCGACCTCGTGCTGGGCACGTCAGTAGAAGAATGCAGACTTATAGCCACTGAGCCAACAAGCATTTATAGGTTTTATTAGTATAATTATCAATAACATATAAGTGCTTAAAGCTTATTGGTCATAAGCGCGACTCCTGATTTTAAGGAGGTCCAGTGTTCGATGTCTGGGTAGGGATATTAAAATAATATACTTAATCGTAATTCTGCCCTCGTTTACTTATAATTTAAAAACTGAATTATTCATTAATATTAATTTTGAAGTGTTTCCTGCCTACCTCTTAAGATATTGCTGCTCGATATGCAGCGGGTTCGATTCCTGCACGCAACTATTATTTTTGTGATCCACAAGTAGTTACAACGTGCATCTATTTATTCCCAACGGAACAGTTTCTTTGCTTTGGGCGTGATTATGAAGTGAATGTGAATTTGTATGTTTGTGTTTGTGACCGCATCAAGAGTATAGGGTTCGATTCCCGCAAGGAACTATTTCTATGTATGATTTACTAATTGTTGTATGTGTGTGTGAATTTTTAAAAAGTTGGTAATACGCCTATCTTTACGTTATCTCAGGAATCTATTATATAATTTATTTGCCCCCTGTCACGGGTTCGATTCCCGAGAATAATAATTTCTTTACGTGATCAATAACTGATGTCCCGGATCGGAAATGATTTCTTTTTATTTTTGCAAACGCTACCGTTTAAAAACCATATTACAAAATATATAAGAACATTGAAAACTATATATTTAAGTGTCCTATTCGGCACTCGCGGACGTAGGTAATATTATAATACATAATATTACTTTATCAATTACATGGGTATTCCAGTAAACATTAAAATTATGTTTGTGGTTGTAACCACACGTCCCTTTGATCTCGACATTTAATTTCAGCTCTAATTGAGCAATTCGGTTTTTACCAATACGATATTACGATTTCATATCAATTGAATCATAATAATATCATGTAACTAGTTATTAATATATTGGAATGAATTTGGCTGAGTGTCTGTGTCACAATATCTGCACGGTTGACTCAGTGGTTGGAGAACTGGCTGCCAGGGATTGTCTCGGGTTTCATGCTCGCATTATCAATTCTTTATACGGCCTATAATTTGTGGTTCCACGTCTGAAAAAAACAACCTTTACTTGACCCCTCCCTATCCACTGTTTGATCCAGAATTTTTTTTATGGCATTAGCCGGTAAACGAGCAGACAGATCACCTGATGGTAAGCAATCGGCGTCGCCCATAGACACTTGGAACACCAAAGGCGTTACAAGTTCGTTACCGGCTTTTTGGGGATTAGGAGTTTGAAGATCGTTGGGGATTCGGGGATTGGGCCTCCGGTAACCTCACTCAAAGCAACACAAGCGTTGCTTCACGGCTGTTTTCTGTGAGGCCGTGGTATCACTCCGGTCGAGCCGGCCTATTCGTGCCAAAACATGGCTCTCCCACACTTAAATTTAAATTATTGTATTGCGTCTGGCTGGTGAAAGAAATCACTTATTCCTTTATTCTAAAACAGCCAATCTTTAAAATTGTGAGAAGAAGTCTTAAATATTAATATTACTCGGAGCTTGCGCGCATTAGTGTTCAATATATTAATAAAGCATACGGCGCGGTAGATTCTCACTAAAATTAAAAAAAAAAAACATGTATTTTAACATAACATCACGTCTTTTATCCCCGAAGGGGTAGGCAAAGGTGCACATAATGAATGTAACACCCACTTTTCACTATTTATGTTATGAGTCCCATGTATTAGGGGGTGAGCCTTTGGAGTCTGGAATTGTGCTCGATATATATCGGGTATACAATTCCAGACTCCGTGCTACTACAGAGAATTTATGAAAAACCCAGTAATACTTTGCCGAATCGAACCCGAGACCCTTTGCCCGGCATTCGCACTTGCGACCACTTGGCCAACGAAGCATTCGAAAAAATAAGATTGTAATAACAAATAAAGGACTCTTTAACATCTGTCCATAAATGTCGCGGGTTCGATTCCCGCACGCAACGTGTGATCCACAAATTGTTGTTCTGGGTCCAAGTGTCATGTGATTTGAAATCAATCAAAAATCCTAGTGTGAGGCAACGCTTTATTGCAAAAAAAAATTTTGGAAATTCGGCGACTTACAAACACTGACACGGTTGCATATAGAACCTTCTCGACTGAGCTGAAGAAATTAGGCATAGGGACTGCACGAATACCGTACAATTTATAACTAACATGTTTATCGTCAACGTGGGGTACGTTTGGGCATTTGTTAAGCGAAGCCGCGCTTGGACGGCAGCGTTTCGTTTTAAAGCAATAATTCCAAGTTGCCGGCGGCAATTTTCACATTTCTTAAAAACAGTCGCGGGACAAAAGTACTAGTGCGGCCGCTTGAATTCGCTTTCTTGTGGTACCCTAGCGCGGCTGGGACCATTTAAATAGTCTCTCAGAGATCAAAAATGTAGTCTTGTGTCTTTGGACCAGAGAAGGCACGTTCGTACCTACGTAGCGATTGTTACGTACGAACGTGCCTTCCCGTCCCTAAAATCCATAACTAATAATAGTTATATCTAAATACTAAATCGAGGCCTAAAATACTCAAATACTTACCTATGACATTTAAACGTTATTTGTCGAACGAATAAATAGAAATCCTAATGAGAGATACACATATATATATATAACATAACATAACATCACACCTTTTATACCCCAAGGTATAGGCAGAGGTGCACATTACGGCATTGTACAATGTAACACCCACTTTTCACTATTTATGTTATGAGTCCCATGTTATAGGGGGTAAGCGGGTATGCCTATTGACATATTCCGGGCACAATTCGAGTAAAACATACATATTTAGTGGAGTGATAGTTTGTAGGAGTTCGTAAGCAAAATTCTTTTAGTCTATTCCACGTACCCAGATCAAGAATCAACTTAGGTCATTACGCCGCTATGCCTAGGCTCTTTAGGCCGTTTTTATTGGAAGCAAGTATAACAGCTCACACATAGGACCCACTTAGTTTTTAGTCAAATTTCCGTGGTGCTTGGCGACTGGGCTTCACCCAGTTGTACAGTCTCTTCTTTGTGCCTTTGGGCTTAATTCATTCTGTCTCCTGCAGTAATTCACCGAGGGAAGTGAAAACCATAGTTTTTTCTTCTTCTCCTCTTATAATATCTTCTGATTCACTTCGTTGCGGGAACCAAGACAGTTACTCATGTCCCTGGGACGCGCCGGACTTCAGTGTTCTGGTGTTTTCATGATTGTATACAGGAGTTGCAGCGGTTTTGGGAGGTTGAGGCGGGCTTGTCCCTTAAAAAAAAAAGGCCGTTTTTATTTTCGACCTTATAATTTTTAAAAGATAAATCTGACAGCGCGTCAGATTTTTCTTATATAACCAACTTGTTGTCGTACTGTTTCTTAATACTTGTGTTCTATTGGTGTTTTTTTTTCTAGTGAACCATTACAAGTTATTTTCTATCTCAACTAAATATTTTAATTTTTGTGTCTTTTACTTAGTCAATAAATAACGCGCATGCTGCGACTTCCTTCAATTGAAAGAGTTTAGGTACTTACCTAACCTAAAATTTTGTATGATTTTCATGGCATGTGCTATTCACATGTCTTATTGGAGAGCTTACGTCATTAAATTAAATAAATAAATACTTTGCAAGACCGTAGAATCGAACCCGAGGCCCCTTGCCTGGCAGTCGCACTTGCGAACTCTCGGCCAACGAGACAGTCTATACATATATGTACATCTTATATGTAGGTATGTTACGTACCTATATTATGGTTAAAGCCAGAGAAATATTGAGCGATTTTACTTAATACTATTAATAACTCATACCCGTATTAGACATTGGTAATAGGAAACCACAAAACTGTAATATATATACATAGGTCCGGGTCGTGGTCGCACGCTCTC